GATTAGCGATCGCTACTAAATGTCGACGAAAATCCCGGCGTCCACTAATGTTTCCTTTTGTAAACGAACCCTATATTCTTTCTCCAAATCCAAAAAAGCTGGAACACACGCGCGCAATGTGACACGTTTACGTGTCAATTACTTAATGCACACAGTGGCAAGTAAACATATTATTTTACAAGGTTGCCAATTATTAAAAAAAAATTGACAAATAATTGCAATGTCACGTGGACATAAAATGTAAAACGGTCGAGGAATGACGTCATTATATAACATCACGGAATGCATATACAAGTGACGTGGTTTTCTCATAGTGTAATATAAACCAAAGCTTTTTATTGGACAAGAATTACTTAACATTTTTGGGCAAAGTACTCACAAGAATAACAATGTTTAATTTATAGCAAAGGTGGATGAATCTTAGAGCATGCAACTTGCAAACATAGAGATCAACCATGCCTACATCACGTGATTAAGTCAGTATTTGGAAATTGCATCAGATATTGTGTAAACAATTCTAATAAAATTTTGGTAATTGTGAGACGATCATTTACGAAAATCTTTGCGAAATTCGATTTGTATTTGCCTGAATTCTCGAAATTACGTAACAAAATATCGCGTGATTTAGAGTTGCATTCTTTGAATCGCCATTACTTGTCAATAAAATAATTATAATTGCATTTATGAGAAAGCTATGCATGATGGAACTATATGTAAAATGTACTCTTCATTTCTAATACGTTGTCTTTTATCTGCACTATTTTGCATGCTATCTGCTATCACTACTATCTGCTAACAATGGTTACGAAGGCAATGAATACTGTGTTACAGTATTTGGCAATCCGAGCAAGCCCTCAGCCAACGGATTCTGGAGTGATAAAGATTGCAATTCGGGCGAAGGACATGTTTGTGAACTGGACAGAGGTACAGTCGCCGGGAGGCAACTTTCATATGCCCCCCAAAAAGAGTGGTTTGAAAACTAATTTCGAATTCAAAGCAAGATGTACGAGAATTTTTCCTGCCGGACTAGATATGTCATTTCGTATATATTGTGGAGGTGG